CATAGTACCCCCAAGAATTTAAAACTACTTTCACCCCTGGTTACCACACCTGAGGAGGACTGCATTTCACTGGTTTACACATGTTGTACTATAAAATGTGAACCCTATTGTGTATGTAAAGACGACAATGAATACCTTATCAGAACCTCTGCTCAAGGAAAAGTTTGATGAAGGACATTACATAGTTTTTCCTCCAGATAACTGGCAATTTAAGACTTAAGTAAAAAAAGTGAAGTTTTTTTACTAACAGGAGGATCTGCTGTCCACAGGTGTTGATTGGGCACCTGTGTCCAACCGTATTGTGACCTGTGCCTCTGATCGTAATGCCTATGTGTGGACTCTGAAAGATGGTGTGTGGAAGCCCACTCTTGTCCTGGTACGCATCAACCGTGCTGCCACCTGTGTGAAATGGTCCCCGCTGGAGAACAAGTTTGCCTTGGGCAGTGGAGCTCGGCTCATCTCTGTCTGCTACTTTGAAAAGGAGAATGACTGGTGAGCATAACTAGGATGATTATGATGACCCCAAGCAGAGGTTACGCTAGACTTTTTGTTGTCTAGCCTTTTTGATACTGTCAGTCAAAATGACTGACAGTATCAAAAATAATTCCATCATATTCTATTTATACATACCAATTTAAAAAAAAAATTGTATATGGCAATGTATCAAGTCCAGACAACACCAAAGTGCTTTGCACTACATTCAGATAGGCCAAAAATTGTAGACCATGGAGGTTTGAAACTTGGTACCTGGGTACATCCAAGAAAAAGAAAAAGAGTTTCTTGGATGTATGTCTTAAAATGCACAGAGAAGCATCTATTTTGGGGAACAGGGCAAATTTTTGCCAATTTCCAAGTTTACAAACCTTAAACTTTATCAAACTCCTCCTTGGGAAGTTGAGGTATTGGTTTATTCTTGTTCAGTATGCAATTAAGGAGGGGGAGTACATTATTATTCCCCTGTGTATATTACCCCATCAGTGTCACCTGTTCTCTGTTGGGTCCTTGTCTGATTTCAGTCTGTGTCTGCCTAGTTCCTGTGTGTTCCTGCTTTCCAGTTGCTACCAGTGTCTGAGCTCCTTGCTCTTTTGCTCTCCTGTTTTGACTGGACTTTGTGAACTTCATTATTAAAACCATCTTTTTCACTGCAACCTGGGTCCACCGTGTCTCATCCTGACCACAAAACCACAATTCATGACAGAAGAACCCAACCAGAACTATGGAGAGGTCTGTGCTAATGAAAGGAAGATAACAACCTGCTCAATGGATTATGAAAGAATATTATGGTACATTGACTCAACCCTACTACTCGAGAAAGCCTCAAAATGTATCGTCACTCTGCGGGACTGGTCACCTCTAATTCCTACAATGGACTTGACTTTGCTGATGGAGGAGGTTGAATGGCAATGCCAGGCAATGTTTGCAGTGATGATCAGCGAGCCACTTATGCCAAACATTCTAGCCTTCTGCTCTCCATGCTCCTCCACAGCTCCAGTCCTTTCTCTGTGTCATGGACCAGTTTGCAGCATCAGCCCAAGGAAGTGGGCCTCCCAGTGCGCCATCTGAGCTTCCCAGTGCTCCGTGCAGAGCTAAGCTAGGCTCCCCAAACCTGAACCAGCTAGACTCCCCGGGCTGCCCTCCACACCCTCTTCATGGCAGCCTTTTCTTTCTCTCCTCAATAATAAACTGCCTACTCCTCTATCTAGCCTATGTATTAATATAACATAGCATTCTTGTTTAGTTTCCTCTGTTCTGCATGTCAAAACCCTAAACTTGTTAAACATGCCAAAGAAGTCTAAATTTTGGATCAGGGTTGGGCTATTGATTTCAACATTAATCTGCACTCTGCTGCCACACTGAAGATTGGAATTAAAAGAGCTGCTTTAGCTCTTTTAATTAATTTGAATGTGCTTTTGAACCAGACATGCTCCAAAGCGTCCTGCCAATAAGTCTTCCATATGTTGTCAGCAAGATGCATTTAATTCACTGTGTGAAAAGTTGAAAAGTAAACTAATTAAATACGTACAGTGGAAAATGGAAAAAAGTTACGCTACAGTAATACTATTGGAAACACTAAGCATTAATTTGTACCACAAAGTGTAATCAAATACATTGGAAAATACCTTTTTCATGCAATATTTGCACATTGACCTTATAAAATTGTTTATTTCCATGTTTTTTGCCAGTCTCGGCAGGATTTGTACTCCATAATCATATAAATGTGGATTATTATTTGATTAGTAGATTGTTAGGATTTTCAGCAGATCTGACACAGAGTTTTGTCTATCTCAGGTGGCTGAGCAAGCACATTAAGAAGTCCATCCGTTCAACAGTTCTCAGTCTGGACTGGCATCCCAACAACATTCTACTGGCAGCTGGGTCTGCAGATCTTCACTGCAGGTAAGACCAGACTCCTACCTTTATATATCAGCTAAGAAACAAAAACATTCACATTTTTGTGAATGTTTTAAACCCTTTCTGACTTACTTTTAAAAGTTAATGTTGCTATATGAAAATGTTCTTTCAACTGGCTTAGATCAATGTAGCTGTTAAAGCTGTTGCAAAACTGCTGTAAACCAGCAGATGCTAGCAGCTCTCTGTACTTCTCAGGATTTTCTCAACCTACATCAAGGACATCGAGGACAAACCAGGCCCCACAGCTTGGGGGGCCAAGATGCCTTTTGGGGAGTTGCTGCTGGAGCATAAAGACTGTGGTGGGTGGGTGCACAGTGTCTCCTTCTCCCCTAGTGGAGACCAATTGGCCTGGGTGGCTCACAACAGCAGCCTCACTGTGGCTGATGCGGCACAGGGGAAGGAGTGAGTATAGTTATTCTTCATCTGAAAAACCAATGAGTGCTAAATAATGCAGTCTATATCGTATTACAGCCTATCTCATCTTTGTACTCAGGGTAACCCAGCTAACCACAGACCTTCTGCCACTGCTGAGTGTACTTTATGTCAACCCTACAGATATTGTTGCAGCGGTAAATTATACCTGCTCACTGTTTGTATGTATTGTGTGATACAGAAACATTTCAGTGTTTGACACATTCAAACATATTCAAACATTGGAGAAAACCAAAAAACGTTAAAACTTTAAAAATGCATTATGAACACAAACATATTTTCATTGGTGGCTTTGACTTTGACTTTATTTATTCTCCTCTGTCTATTTCAGGGTCACGATTGTTGCCCTTACCTGTTTACCTACACAGGTCCACATGCCCTGGAGTGTGTGAAGAAGCTGGATATCCCAAAGCAGACATCAAAGGGCAGTTTGTCAGCCATGCAGCATTTCCGTAACCTGGACAAGAAGGCCACTGAGGAGGATAACAATGAGTTGGAAACTCTTCATCAGAACAGCATCATGTAGGGAGACACTGCCTCTCTCTCTCTCCGTCCTACTATCATCATCAAACTTTAGTTAAACCCCTTTTATTTAGATAGATTAAATTCCATTTATCTACCTAGCCTATATTCAAAATATATATCCTCTAAAGGCACTTTGCAAAAAAAGTTAATTCAATCCAATAATACAGACAGATTCAGAGTTAATTTAGATGGCAAAACATGAGTGAATCAATGTTGAAACGTTAAACAGAAACAGTGAATCCACGTTGAAGCCTGACATTGAAACAATATTGAAAGTGGTCGGTGACATGACTGACACCATATCAATGTTGATTCAACCATCATCTGAATGTGGATCTACATGCACATTTTAGTTTTACATTAAATCAATGTTAGGACTCAATGCTGATTCAAGCTTCACCTATTCCATCTGCATGCATATTTGTATTGATTTTATATTGAATCAAGGATATGGGATCAATATTGATTCATGTATATTTTTGGTATGATAAGTCTACATCATAACATATCATTAAAAGTTTCTGCACTGGTGTTAAATGCACAATTTTATTGGCAAATGTTGGCCATTATGTCATTCAAAATTCTTTACCATATTTTCAAAAATGTGTGTATACAAACTAAAAACAACATGGCATTAATATTACATTTTATTTAAGATAACAGGCACAGATCTGAAAGCATATTTCACTCCTTTTTGACTGTCACAACAACAATCTATTGACCATAGAATAACAGAGTCCATGAGGTGAAGCCTTGTACTGTATGAACCAAGGAAATAGTATGAGTTGGGGTAAGTTGAGTTGGCATCACTTTGGATGATGCCAACCAGATTGGATTGTTGTACTCCATACCTCCCGCTCTGGTGCGTAGTGAAGCCACTTCTTGACAGTTTTCCTGTAGTCCTGGTCAGTCAGCTTTGGGTCAAACGGCCGAGCAGCAGCTGAAAAATACAAAAATAAGAGTGAGGAAGGCACCTGTTTGGACCTGTTAGACAAAAATTTGAAAAATTTTGAAACATGCTAAAATATTAAATAATGTACTGGCTATTGGTTTGAGAACAAACATAGAGACCGTACAGTTCCACTTGAACGCTAACCGTTAAATTAATAAGAACACACTATTGAATATTCATGAATATGTATCTTAGGTTACTTGATATATATATATATAATCACATTTACCTATTGGGCTGCAGCATAGGCACAAAACAATGTAGTTTTTGTTTTCAATAAACACAGTTAAGATGAGAATAATATTGGGTAACACTTTATTTGAAGGGGGTTGAATAAGACTGTCATGACACTGTCATAAACATGACATAACACATGTCATGAACATCAATAAGTCTTCATGAATATTTATGACTGTTGTCATAAAGCGTCATTTGGTAAATTATGACACTTTTAATACAAAATTGACATTATTCAAAATGTCTTTGTTATGACAACTTGACATTAACCAAGAAATCATTACTGACATAAATTTGTTATAAAAGAATTACTGATTACACTTTAAAAATTAGGTATCTTTATGTTATTAAAGGTAAAGTTTAAACAGTAATGATTTCTTGGTTAATGTCAAGTTGTCATAACAAAGACATTTTGAATAATGTCAACTTTGTATTAAAAATGTCATAATTTACCGAATGACGCTTTATGACAACAGTCATAAATATTCATGAAGACTTATTGATGTGCATGACAGGTGTTATGTCATGTTTATGAAAGTGTCATGACAGTCTTATTCACCCCCTTCAAATAAAGTGTTACCTAATATTTCCAAACTTGCCACAAAAGTGCTCAGAGTAGAATTCAATTCAGAACCAGTTTGCAAAAAAGCCAGCAGCAAAAGGGCCGTGTGTTTAGGACATACCATTAGTATAAAAAGAGGGAGGCAGACTGCTCCACTGCTTGTAGTGACTTGTAGACATTTTTATGTCAACACATTTTGCACAGCCAGTAATAATATTTACAGACAAGAAAATGAACAAAAAAGGAATCACAACTGACTGTCCTCAATGTAGAGCACAAGGAGGAGGAGGGAAGGGGACGCATTGTGACAAACATCATACATTAATTCAACACTGATTACCAGTTCTTCCCAACCATGGCCATTAAGGTGCACTGACTGCATATTTTGGATGTTCCCCTCTTTCAACACACGCTATTCAGATATTGCAATTGAGCAAAATCAATTGAAGCAGGGGAATGCCTAAAACCTGCAAATAAAGTGTGCCCTGAGGACGAGGATGAAAAACGAGGATTAGATGCTGGCTTTTTAATTAGAATTAAAATAGAATTAATAATTAGAATTAAAATGTCAACAACATTGATTCAATTACATCTTTTCAACATTGGTTAATTGGCTAGAATTTGATGATTGATTGTTGATCCACCGTCAATCGTCGACCTCAATCAAAAATCAACCTTTTTGTCCATAATTTAACATTGAGTTATTGCTTGCTATCTGCTTTCAACATTTGGTCACTGTTTGGGAGGTACAACTAGTTTGACTTTTGAAAGCATTTCTCACAACTGTAATATGTTTTTGACCTACAGGCAGCTGTGTGTTGTATCAGGGGAGAAATCCAAAGTGGAAAAGTACAGCAGTGTAGGCCTGGATGGAGCCATGGTGATCTGGGATTTTAAGGTACAATGTCAAGTTAAAGCTGTAAGCAGCAATGGGCAGCCCTCAGTGCTCAGCGCCATTCCAGCCTTGTGGCAACTGCCGGAGCTCTAGCACCACCATCCTGTCACCTTTGTGAACACTCGCATCATTCTCGATGTTCTTCGATAGGTAGTGCATTTGGCGAATCTTGCAATTCACCTTCTGTCCAGTTTAATACAAGTCTAGCGGCAACTCTTTAAAGTTGGGTTGAAAACCACCCTTCCAGTAAGCGCTGATAACTTTCTGTTTTATGGCGAATGATTGGCAAGGACTTGCCCCAGTCTTTTGAAAACATCACGTGTGGTTAACAGTTAGTGGATAGAGTTTCAATCATATGTCATGCACAGGGAGAAGCTGGAGGAATAATACTCATAAGAGAACAAAAGAAGCACTAATTTGGAGGCCTAAATGTGGGACCTGAGTGGTATGATCTAAATAAAACCAAGGTAGCAAATGTGAGCAGGTTTTAAAAATGAGCCAATTAAGATTGACAATTTATTACAAAATAAGTCTCTAAAAAAATGCAGGGCAATGTCACGCAACCTCTGTGGAAAGAAGCTGGAGATAAAGTCTTAGAGAAGGGAAGTGGCGCCGACGTTCCATCCTCTCCAGAATTTCTTCGCCACTTGGCCAGCGCTCATCACCCAGGGCCTGGTCCTCCCTTGCCAGCATTCCTCTTTGGCCACCTCCAGCGATCGCCAATGCTGGGTCTAAGGCGTTCTGCCCACACCGCCAGATCAGGGCAACTACACACCTGCCAGCTGTGTGCGATCCGCGTTTACTGGTGCCACCCGGATCGGTGCACTTTGCCCCTCCGCTTTGCTAGTCCTGCAACTTGTCCCTGGCCGCCAGCAATAGCTGGCTATTGCCGGATGCGACCCTCTGCCCAGCACTCTGTGTCCTTCTCTCCGTCCGCCTCTCTCAACCAATCCTGCCAATTTCCTCTTTGTACGCTGCTCAAATAGGGAACACCTGTGCCAGCCGAAGTGGGCGTCTCCGGCGGGCCGTGGGTGGTAATGCCACCCTCAAAGATAAACACAAAAAGTGAGGAAACACAGCAAACCAAAAAATAAACTCAAAATAATGTAACAACAAATGTAAATAACTTCAAAATATCACAACAAAGCCAAAAAATATAAAAAACACGAAAATAAATCAAAAAAGAGGCCGGATTACCATAGTAAACATATACAAAAACTCAAATATTACTCAAATTTCTCTAGAATTTTTGTATTTTAATAGATTCTAAATGGGCGTGGTC